AAAACGAAGCGACTCAGGGCAGCTATTCTCTCGGTTAAACACTGTATTTCCCTCGTGTTGGAGGGAGGCTGCATATCCAACACTGCTTTTACCTTTTCTGGGTTAGCCTCTGTCCCTCTACTATTAACTATAAAGCCCAGAAAGTTTTCTGCTGACACCCCAAAGGCACACTTAGCTGGGTTGAGCTTCATCTTATATTCTCTCAGGACCGAAACAACTCTGCTAGGTATCCAATGTGGAGCTCTGCCTTCAGTGACTTGACCAGCATATCGTCAATATAGAACTCCATGGAGGTCCCAATCTGTTTTTGAAACATCTTATTCATTAGGCGCTAGTAAGTGGCTCCTGTATTTTTTAACCCAAAGGTCATCACTTGATAGTAGTATGTCCCTTGCTCAGTTATGAATGAGGTCTTCTCTTGGTCACTAGGATCCATCCTGATCTGATTGTACCTAGAGAAGTCATCCATGAAGCTGAGGAGCTCATGTCCCACAGTAACATCTACAATTAAATCTATCCGGGATAGAGGAAAGCTATCTTTCGGGCAAGCACGGTTGAGGTCTGTGAAGTCAATGCAAAGATGTCATTTGCCGTTTGTCTTCTTGACTAAGACTACATTGGCTAGCCAAACTGGGTAATTCACTTCTCGAATGGCTTTTGTGTGAAGGATCTTGCTGATCTCTTCGTTGATGGCTTTCTAATGCTCCGGGGCGAAGCTTTTCCTCTTCTGCTTAACGGGCTTATAGGTTGGATTCACGCTGAGATTGTGAGTGATGACAGAAGGATCAATCTCTTTCATGTCCTCTTACTTCTATGCAAAACTTCCTTGTTCCTTTTCAAGAATTGGATGAGGGGATCCTTGATCTCCTTGCTCAGCTTGGATCCAACGTAAACAAGATGCTCTGGCTCCTCATCAATTTGAACAGGTTCCAGCTCTTCTGATGGTGTTGGCCTGGTCTCGAGTTCATCCCTCATGTCAAGTTCATCTAATTGGATGCTCTTAACCTCCTTATTTCTCATGGATGCCATGTAGCATTCTTGTGCTATGCGCTGGTCTCCTCGAACTACTCCAACTCCATTTTCTGTTGGAAACTTCACTACAATGTGATAGGCAGAGGGAATAGCCCTTATAGAATTGAGTGAGGGTCTTCCAAAGAGCATATTGTATGCTGAAGGTGCATCAACCACTAAAAATTTCACAGTTATTGTAGTTTGACAAGGTGGGTCACCTAAGGTCAAGATGAGTTAGATTGACCCTAGAAGCAGCACCCTTTCTCCTGAGAATCCCAATAGGTGGGCACTTACTGGTTCAAACTTTTTCCTTCCTATATCCATTTTGTCAAAAGCAGAAGCAAAAATGATGTCTGCCGAGCTGCCATTGTCAATCAAAATACGATGGACAATCTTGTTGGCCACCACAGCTCTTACCACCAAAGGGTCATCATGGGGATGTTGGCAGCCCTCTAGATCTAAATCTGAGAAAGTGATAGCCATGTCTAAGCATGGAGACTTGGACATGGTATATACTTCAGGAGCATCTATGGCTTTGATTTTTCGTAAGTGGGCCTTTCTGGTAGAGCTGAACCCTCCTCCTCCTGTAAATCCTCTTGATATCACTCTGATCTCCCCCATAGGTTGCTGGTGTGGCTCTGGTGCTTGACGCTGAGGGGGTGGAGGTGGGAGAACTTAGTTTTGATTATCATTGGCCATATAGCGTCGCAACTGCCCTCGCTAAATTAGAAATTCTATTTCCTTCTCAATTGGATACAGTCGTCGGTGTGATGACCATAGTCTCTGTGGAAGTCACAATACTTCGTAGGATCCCTTTTTGCCAGGTCTGTTTTCATCCGGGGTGACCACCTTAAGAACTTCTCATCTTGCACCGCATACAGTATCTGAGACACCGTAGCAGTCAGAAGGGTGAGCTGCCGGGGTGCATACCTCGATTGTAACTCTGGTTATAGAGGGGCGAGGCGATCCCTGACATTTTCTTTTCTTTTCAGGGAACATTCTCTGTCCCTTCTTGGAGACCTGTCTTATTCTCTTTCCTTTCTAGGACTTCGTTTTCTCTTTTTTTCTTCCTTCTCTTTCTCCTTTCTCGACGAAGAGCTCCGACCCTGGAGAGGAGCACTTCCTCACCATTTATATACTTTTCTGCTTTGGGAAGCACCTCCGCCATACTAGCCTGGGGTTCTTTGAGATGAAAAACATCAGATCTTTTGATTGAACTCCCGGACCTGCTATGAAGGCTGTAATAGTAAATTTTTCGTCTTTGACATCTACCTTCAAGGATTCTGAGTTGAACCGTTGGACATAAGACTGTAGGTTCTCATCGGGTCCTTGTTTCACATTTAACAAATGGTAGCTCAATTTCCTATAGGTTCGAGCTTCGATGAAGTGGGACACAAACGAGATTGACAGCTCTTTAAAAGAGAAAATCGAGGATGGGGGGAGTCTGTTGAACCATGCTAAGGTTGAGCCCTTTAGGGTGATAGCAAAGGCCCTACATCTCACTAGATCTTGATATCCATCCAACTCCATTTAGTTTTTGTTGGTGTTGAGGTGGTCCACGAGATCCTTTGTCCCATCGAAAGTATCCACCTGCGGCATTCTGAATTTATGTGGGAGAGGGAAGTGCAGCACCCCAGCAGTGAATGAGGATTCAGTTTGCTGCACTAAGGCATCCATAGTGATTGAGACCTTGCTCTTCACTGCCTCCTTCATCTAGCTGAGTTCTTGCTTGATGTCTTTGAAACGTTGCTCCCAGTGATGTTCTCTTCTCTCCTGTTGATAAGGTAAGAAGTCGTTCATCTCTCATTCCTTATACTAACTTTGCACTTCCTCGTTGTGACCATTCCTAGGGGGTAGGTAAGGTTCTTGTCCCAAGGTCTGACTATTCTCTTCCACCTCATTAACTTCTCTGAGGGGTTCAAGATGTGGTTGCTCCCTTAGTGGTGGATTACTCTGGCCTCCTTGGGCCGGTCGCGCCTCCTGTGGGCGTTGTAGGAGCTTTAAGAGCCCTTCGTTCTGTTTTATCTTACGTTCATGACAAGACGAGGGGCCTCCATCTCATTATTCATGGGAAGGCCCCTCATGGGGGGATCTGCTTCTTGCGTATTTTCGGGTTGTCTGCTATTTACGGCTTCCTGTTGATCTTGCATCCGTAGAGGATTGGTCTGACTTCGGCTCATGTTTCACGTTGATATCATCAGTCACTAGAAAATCAGCTTTATTTGTAACAGGAACAGTCTTTGCCACAGACGGCGTCAAACTGATAACGTATATCAACGTGGATGAGCTTAAGGTGAAAGTAATGTGAGATGAGCGTGGATCAGAGCTACGAGGCTCGTGTATGATGCTACCATAAAATATTTCGGAGATTAAAGGGGTGCACACAGTGAAAATATAGTGGTTCACCGGCTTAGGAGCTCGACTAATCCACTCTTCAATGGAGGTTCTTGCTCCTTTTATTTTATTTACGATGATTACAAAGTTGCTATGGCTTCCTATTGCCACTAGGGTTCCCCCCCCCCCTCTTTAGGGGGTGTTACCTTGCATTTATAAGGTCATTCCCTGCTAAAAAGGATCTTAGCCGAGGTTCTTGTCCTTATTTCTTGGGCTTCTTCTTAATTCTAGGAGAAGATCTTAGTTGGTTGAGATTGGGTGCCTTAATTACAGCTTCCTAACGGTTTAGGATCCTCTCGTGGTTATCCAGCAGTTATCTTGCCTTAAGAGACATTCGGCCCTTACCCTCTGACCTCTGCTAATATGTCTGACCTCCTGAGCCTAACACTTAGATTTTATTTTAGGTATCATCAATGAGATTCAACTCAAGTATTTCAAGATGGAGGATCAAATGGCGAACATCTTCAACAAAGCACTTCCGAAGGACAAGTTTCAATAGTTTCGAGAAATGTTGGGTGTCACCCAACAAAGCATTAAGGGAGAGTGTTAAAGTTAATACTTTGTTATGTTATTTTGTATTTGGGCTAAAAATGTTATGTTTGTAATTGGGTCATAAAATATTGGTATGTGTTTGAGTCATGTTTTGTTGTATTTAATTAAACCCAAAGATAGAAAACTCTAGAATTATTTGGGTGTGTCTAGATAAAGATTGTAAGAGTCTTTCTAGAATTTATAGTATCTATATTTAGGTGTGTCTAGAAAAGTGAGAGATTTTTCTAAAATGTATGGAGTGTCTATATAAATCTTGTAAAAGACATTTCTGAAAAAAAATTTTGTTCCAAAAGTTTCCCTATATTCCTTGTTAGTCTCTTGTTTGTTTCTTTAATTAATTGAGGTTCAAGCCTAATCTAAGGCCAACATGATGTGCTTGTTTCAAACCATAAATAACATTATTCAACTAAAATATGTGATGAGATAGTCAGGTTGAACAAAGACCTTGGGTTGCTTCATGTAAATAATTTCCGTCAGAGAACCATGCAAGAAGGTGTTCATGATGTCAAGTTGATGTACTGGTCAATCATGGGACAAGGCAATAGAAAGAGCCATATAGTGGGTTTGATGACTGAGCTGTAAGTTTCATCATAATCAGTGTCGTGTTGTTGATTTAAGCCATGAGCAACAAGGCGCACCTTCTAATGGTCCAAAGAACTATCATATTGTTGTTTAATCTTATAGACCCACTTGGATCCAATAATGTTTGTAGAAGGAGGCAAAGACACCCTAGACGAAGTTTTATTTTTAATCAAAACATTGAAATTATCAAGCATTGGTTCACACTAGTGGCGATTTTAAAAGCAAAGTTAAATGACGAGGTTCAGGCGGAAGATTTTGAAGAAGCAAATGTATTAAAAAAAAAATAGGGTAAAATACATGGTCGGCATATACCGTCTTAGTGTTAATAGACGAATGGGGCCGACACCAAATTTTTAGGAGAGGAGATTGGGTTCAGGGAAGGGATAGTTGAATCAGGTGGTCGAGCTAAAGGATGGGAGGTCAGGGTTTGGATGAGAATTAAATGGATTGTGATTTATCAGTGGAGATTGAGTGGAAGTTGAAGATGGAATTGAAGGAATCCGAGAGGTTAAGAAGTCTGAAGTGGAAGATAAATGCCGAGAAGAAGCAGGAGAGGACTAGGGAGATTTGGATGAGTGTGGAGATGGAGAGAAATCTAGAGATACATATAAAAGGAGTATCAGTTTGGGGGGATATGAGGATAGGTTGGTAAGTTGTGAGTATCTGTCATATGGTGAGATTGAGGAGTGCTAAAGGATAAGGAAGTATGATCGGTAAGATGAGATAAAGGGATAGAAGATGATGTAGAGAAAGGATGAGTCCAAACTGATGAGGATAGTGTAGGAGGGAAGTGGTTAGTTGGCCGATGGAAGGAGGAGGAAGAGGAGTCCAACTTGGAAGGATTTCAGTTAAAAAGAGGGATAAAGGAAGTGAGTTTCTTCGAACCTAACATGGCGAGAAATAATGATCCTATTAGGTGAGGGATCAAAATGTCTATATCCCTTGTGTAAATCTGAATATCCAAGGAAAACACAAAGAATGGATAAGGAGAAAGCTTATAAGGACTGGTGGAAGTAATATTAGGATAACAAGCACTCCCAAATATTCAGAGTGGGGTGTAGGAGGGGGGTGGCCATAAAAAAGTTGAAAAAGAGAGAAGTTCTGGAGAGTAGAGTTGGGAAGAGTATACAAAAGAGCCATATAAAATGCTTCAACCCAAAAAACTAGGAGGTAGAGAGGCTTGAAACAAGAGAGTGCAAACCATATAATAATAGTTTGATGCATACGCTCTATGGCCCCATTTTGTTGATAAGTGTGGGGACAAGCCAAATATAAGCATATTCCACAAGCAGACTTGAAGAAATTGTTAGCATATTCACGACCAATATCGCATTGAAGATTTTGAATTGAGAAAAGTAAATGCATCAAAATAAATGCAGAGAACAATTTAAATTTGTCAAATGTTTCGAATTTGCGACGAAGGGGAAATACCCAACAAAAATGAGGATAATCATTCATAAACAATAAATAAAAGCGCAAACCAATGAAAGAATGGATCAGAGAGGGCCAAAGATCTTAATAAATTAAAGCGGAAGGAGATTTAGAATGAACATGACATTCACAAAATGATAGTATATCATGTTTTCCAAATTAACAAGCTTGACAAATAGTTGGATTAATTCAATTACAAGAAAAATATCACACACATTATTCAATCGAAAAGACAATACCCTAGATCTTTCATGGCCTACTAGCCGACGCCAATCTGTGGAGACACCCGAGACGTCGCAAAGGCAAACATCATGGAACTGACGCGCACCACAGAAGGATGAATAGGATAAAGAATACCCAAACTATTGAATCCGAGAAGTACCTTTTTTGTCCAGAGGTCCTGATAGAAAAATAATGATGATCAAAGTCAATACTACAATTGTTGTAAGATGTAAATTGCTTGACAGAAAGAAGATTATTTTCAATTTGCAGAACAACCAAGAAATTATGAAGAGCAAAGGAAGAATGTGGTGATTTATTGTAGGAATGACCAGTATGAGAAATGGGTAAAAGTTTACGATCAGCAACTTGAACATGATCAATATTGATGTACAAAGAGAGGGAAAATAAATTACCTGTGAGGGGTTTCATGTTAGAGAAAGCACGTGTATCCAGATACCAGTTCGGATATAAGTAATCAAGCGTGGGAGGAGCGGAAAAGGATTAAGAGTTGGTGCTAGCAACAAAGGCTTTGGAATGTTGTGGGCATTCACGAGCCAAGTGATAGAATTCAATACATAATTGAATTTGAATTGGTGGAGAAGTTTGAGAAAGATGTGGGTGATACGAGAGTGGCATAAAAGGTGGTCGAGAACCCAAAATGGAAAGACCACAACCATGGTTAGTTTGGCGATTGAAGAAGGAAGATCGGCGGAAATAACGTGAATCATGGAACTGATTGTGGCGAGAGAAACAAGATTTCCCACTGTGAGGATAAATGATGATGACGTTGATCATTATGGGAATTTTGTGGATAAGAACAACCGTGCCCTTTGCCTCCCTGTGATCCTAAAAGGGAAGAATGAGCACCATGATTTGCGACTTAGGCTATAGAAGATGAGGAAGAGTTGTTGGTGACCGCCATTTGTTGGAGCCAAGTTTCACGGGTAAAAAGGAGGGAATGCGCTTCAACAAAAAAAGGAAAATGGATCCAAGTAGAAATGGCAGTGACGGCATCATATTCGGAAAGAAGATCAATAAGTGCTTGCATAACGAGATTGATGTTAGAAATAGAATTCCCGACTAAGGCAAGGGAATTAACAATGGATTTCAGTTGCTGAAGATAAAGAGTCATGATCTGCATGGTGGTAGAACTGCATTTTCAATTGCAGGACGCAAGAATTAACTTTATGAAATAAATGCTCAATGGTGAGCTAGGGCTCACAGGTAGTAGAAGAAGAAGTTGGTTGAATAGTTGCATGAAGAATGCAAAAAAATCTGATGGCTTGAGTGCAAGAGAGAACCAAGTAATCGATCTGTAACCATGATTTTTGTATGGATTAGAGACCTGTTTATGGAATCATCAATCAGATAGGGTGAAGGATTTGGGGTAGTAATATCAACTTGACCATAGACATCATGACTCTTAAAAATAGGTAAAATAGTTCATGCCAAAGGAGATAATAAGAGAAATCCAACACTATAGAAATGTAATTTTTAATGTTGGAGATATCGGGCTTGGTTAGGAGAGGAAGAGGAAGATGGTAAGGTGTTAGTTCCAGTTGAAGGTATTGTATTGACGGAAGAGTAAGAAAGAGTGGTGGAAGACTTGGTGAACTACTAAAAAATATTTAAGAAGGTCTCAGAGAAGGCTCTGATACTATGAAGAATAATGGAATTCTATCATGTAGTACATGTGTGTATTGACAGAACTAACCCTAATGAATAATACAAGGAAATAAAAATAACACTATAATACCCATTCTAACATTACTAGAAAAATATTTATAATGTGAAATATTTAAGAAAGATAATACAGAGTTCAAATGTGAAATAGTTATCAAAAAAGTGACAAGTGATTACATAGACCACATGGAATAATTCAATTGGAGGAGACCTATGGGTTACTATTTAATATTTTAAAATTAGGAGAAAATAAGATTTAGAGAAGACAAGCTTCTTAAGCATTCTCTCTTCTAAATTGATTTTTATAGTACATATATAATATAAATTGAATTTATCATTGTTGCATTTGGTATGCGGTAAAGCAGTATAAGAACGGAATGATTACTACTACATAGTGCACATACTAATGTTTTGACTTATAGTAATCAAAATCTATTCCAGTTATCTTAAAATGCCCAATCCAAATAGTTTTGGATTAGTCATTCGTAAATATGAGATGATAATACTGATTATCCAACCCCTCAAAATTGTAAGTTCAAATCCATTTAGACTAAAAGAATATTATTACTGGGAACTACTAATGACACTGCAATAAATCCTAATATTTGTGGGAGTAATGTTATAATTAGTATCCAATTTAGGGATCTAATCATAGACTAAATTCATTGTAGTCATTAAATTAATTGTGAGTTACAACGTTTAGTGGAGCCTACTTTCAATCCCAACAGTTGTAATTGATTATGTCCCTAGAATAACTCTCCAAATTATGTCCAAATAATATTTTCCTATCCATGGACCATCTCAACAAAACTACTAACCATAATCTTCATGCAATTTTTTCCCCTGTGGTCAATTAGCATATTTAACTGATGCAGATTTTAATGTGCCATCTCAACATAATAACATAAAAGAAAATGTAAAAAAAAAAAATGTGTCACTAAGAGCATCTACAATAGTACTCTCTATTTTAGCGAGAATCTTTTTTGAAATATAGAACATCTTTAATAAAAATTTAAAATAGAGTGAAATATTTTAGACAATTCTAATGGGTTCTCTATTATAGTAGAAAAGTAGTCTTATAGTTAATATTATTTAATGAAAAATGTAAGTATATATGTCTATCTTTTAATTCATTAAAAATAAAATAGAGAGTGAGTTCGACTCTCTAAATGTAGAGAATCAAATAATGCTCCCAAATGTAGAGAGTGTGAATAGAAAGCCTATAGGAGCTTGATTTTTTATGATTGGCTCTCTAAAATAAAGAGTTGATTAGCAATAAAAAGCCTATTTGAGATGCTATAAGTTGCTATATCACAAATAAGAGAAATAAACATGTCTGACTTTATTGGGGAAACGAAACATGGTTATTGCGTACATTGCAAAATTAGATCATTGTCACAAATTTGAGCTTTGTGTTCATGGGGTCTCTTGTCACCGGCTGGCAATTATGAGTACTGTAATGTTAAGTTTGTATTGGAAAGTCTATGCCAGTTGTGTTGAAGAAACTGTCTTTCAGTCAAAGTTAACTGCTTACGGACAGAAAGGAACAATATAATCCATTCTAATCAATACAAAGACCCCAACGCACTGCTGGAAATTATCAAGCAAACTCTTAGGAACAGGATGATCTCTAAGGGTCAGATACTCTCAAAGGAATTTGGAGCTTCTAGAAGGTTGGCATCTCCCACGCAGTTGTTTTAGATAAGATTCTTCACTGTTAGGAACTCATATGACTTGCTTTTTGTTTTTATTTTTTTGTAAATGACCTGCATGCAATGTCCCTATCAACATTGGAATTCTTTTGTCAATTCTATGAGGGGTGCCCTTTCAGAAGAGCATCCCTCTTAGACTTGAATGCACAATAATGCTGCTTTGTAAACTGGGGTATGCCCCTCAGAATATTGTTCTTATTTGTCCACTTTATACGTTTTCCTCTCCGGAATGTCAAGTTTGTATTATGCAAGTCGTATTGTGTAAATATTTATTGAATAAATATCCGGTTTATTTCTTGTCACAAGTTTCTTAAAATCGAGTTCATAATTCATATTAAATATGTGATTTCATAGTCCTCTGGAGGGGTGGGCGTGGAGATTTCTCTCTCTGTTATGCAGAGTGTTGGCCTTCTTAGAGTTTCCTAATGAAAGCTTAGGTTTTTCTTCTTGCTCCTTTGTTTCATGTAGGGGATGGGTGAAAACGTAGTAGCATTGTCTCGTTCGAATCGGTTAAAACTTTCTCTTCCTTTGGTTTTACATTTGCCTTTTAGTTTGCAAGTTTTGAAACGTTTCACTATCTACATGCGTCCAGTTCACTGGAGAA